TTCCGATGCTTCGAGGCATGAACGGATGAGTTTACTTGCCATAGGTTCACTAAGAGCATGGATTGAGTGGTAGTTGCTAGTGAACTTCTCTAGCAGATCATCACTCCCTGTAGAGATTGAGATGTTGTCCAGCGCACGAAGAACCAGGTCCATTATGTATTTTCTTGTCCACCGGTTGCTATGTCGAAATAAGTCTACAAAACTTATAGAGATAAAGGAACACACATACCTCCGCGAATCAGATCTTTAGAATGTGCATACAAAATATGACCACAGGGCAGCATGTAGTCATTGAAACGCTCACAAGCACATCGTGCACGTGAAGTATCAACAACATACATCATACCCTTGTCGTAGCACCGGATGTATTCTCCTTCTATAAATTCGTGTCTCATTGTCCGAACACGTTTATAATTTACAGCTACAATTTTAGCTGCAAAAGATGTGAACTCATTTAGAAGAGTTCGAAATGACATTGGAACCTGGAATTAATGATACATTTAACTATATTTCTTACCTGAAGAATAGGAAAACGTTGAAGATCCTTCACAGCGTCATAAGGACGCAAACGTAGATCAATGTCTGTTTTACTCCAAATTTTCCAGAACGTCAATAATAGGGAATCACCTCTTCTGAGACATTCTTTTAGGTGTTTATGAGCACTTTCAACACGGTTGTTTGTGTGGTTGCCCAGGCTTAATACATGTCGCCGGTAACAGCGAGCCCACATTGACTTCCTGGCAATCCAGTAATCTTTTATGTAATCATACGCCCGTGGAAAATGCGTTCTTAGATGTTCGTACTTTCGAGTAAATCTGAATATAATGCGTTATGAAAAGCGAAGCTCACATATCAGACCGTCTAGTCTTCACAAGCTGTTCCAAGCATTTGCGCACATCAGGATTTCGGAACTACAGAAAATAATTTGTACAGCTAACACATACCTTCCTGAAAAACGCTCCTAGGACATGGAATGAAGAAAGTATTATGTTAGAATGACTGTGCGTAGACTGCACAGCCGAAATTTCGGTCGCTGCCGAATCCATAATGAAAGTGCGTGTAGCATAAGTACCGCACATTATCTCTTTAAAACATTCCAATAGTTTTTCGATATCTTCGCGTCGTTCTTGACTGCAAAGAGCATACATAACAGTGTGCCCTTGCCCAAGATTATCAGTGACCACTAGCTGGAACAGTGGAAAACTTCCAGATAAATTTATTACTAATCGTAACTTACCCGACTTTATTGGTCTGATAAGTCGAATCAATACATATTACTTCCGGGAACGCGTGGTAAACAGCTATTTGCTCTCTGCGGCTGAAGCAAATCATAGACATGTTCCCATTTTCATAGAATACTTTAACTTCAGTATTTCCTTGAATGCGCTGTAAAATGTTATTGATATTTTTAGTGTCTAAACTCAATTAATTACAATGTGAGTTCAACAACCTGGGTACAACTGTGAACGCATTCTGGCGATATCGTCCTTGGTAAGTTGTTTATTGAACTTCAAAGAAACCAGATACCGTAAGCTACGAGTTGGTGTATTACTCAGTAGAAACGTTCTTAAATACAAGCGTTCACTTGAGGTCAACTGTCGTTTCGATGGATCGACAGAAATATATCCTTCTGTGCAAGGAAGGTTGTGCACGGTTTTAATAGAGGTGAGTTTCAACTCACCATTCAGTGCCCGGACCCAAAATCCTGATTTACAGTGGCAATATTTCGACCTGAAGGATAAATTCATTTGAAGTAAGGCATACGTAGATGACCGACGTCGTCTCCTTTGCCTAGGTTGTGTTGGCGAGTTAGAAGTTGTATGCTCTTCAGAAGAATGATTATTACTATCATCATCTACATCCTGAACGCAAGCATCTGACTCTGACGAACTGCGTTTACGTCCATATGTACAGACATATCTCACGAAAAAGTACTTTAGAGTTGGATCATCACTGTTCTTTTTGCATACTGACATAACGTACTTAGTATGCGTATACTAAAAAATTAATTATTAACCACAGAGGTCATATTACCTTATGTACTTCTTTCAAACAGGTCTCAAAATTGTCCCAACTTGTAAATCTTCGAGATAACATAATATCATTGAAGATTCGTCCTATATCATGCATCATCACGATGGAATCGTCTTCGTTACTTGAAGAATGAACGTTATCAGACATAGTGTGGCTGAACTCAATTCAAATCTAAAAATGTCTTGATTTGACCGCTTCTGAAAATTTTCACGAATTGTCGATGTGACGCACCAATCATTTTGCGACAGTTTGACCTTCAAGTGCTCGCAACCCCCATCAGTGGACGATACCCTAGGAGCGTTGCCCGTGAAAAGTGGGACGGGCAAACCGTTTGAGGTAGGCATTAAGCAGTTTTGGGAAATTGTTTATGACTTGCCGTTTTTGGGACTCAGGCTTTTAATTGCAGTGTCTTATCTGTATAATCGAATGCTATTTATACGAAAAATAAATGATATATCTTTCTTATTGCTATAATTTATCTTGGAAAAAATGGGATACGCGTCAGTAATGCAAGTTGTTCATATAGTGTTCCCTATGTACATCACGTCTCACAAAGTGATTTATCAGGGGCATGTACATAGCGTCAACAGACTGCACAATTGTGCTGTAACTATGGTGACATTACACTCGCTTCCCTTACTGTCTTCAAGGAGGCAGTGTTTCTTAGATATAAATAACAAATTTTCTCAGTTTCTGTCTCTGATTATCTACACTCTGCTGTTGTTTTTCAGTACTTATGAGTCATTGCTATTTCTCTGTTCGCTAAGTGGTGGACCAGCCGGAACCAGTCTACTTTTAGCGGTTTCTTAGTGTAGCTTTAAAGCGGCTAAAGTTTTTTCTTTTGCTGTCATTAGAGCTGATGTAGCGGTAATGATTTCACTAGATGAAGGCATTTCCCCTATATCCTTAATTCTAGAGGGGAAAGAGTTTTCGTTACTAACTACCTATCGTTCCCACTGAAGTCCCCAACCTAAGAAATATCTATCTCAAAATACTTCATTTGGCTTGGACTCGTCTCTAAAATAGCTGCGAATGGCTCTCAGTATTACAATGTTGCGGTACAAATACTACCAACACGTTGGTGAACTTATGACTTTCCTCAACAGATGTTCTAGAAGAGTATGGATATTATTGTCAACTTGAAATTATGTAGTTAATTGTGTCACGTGTTCCCTTGTATAGTAAAGCCAACAGGCCTGGCGCCAGCACTTTGCTATTCTCAAGATTTGAAAATTTGACTCGTGGATTGTTGTACCTCGTTACATCAAATTAAAATCTTCGAGGGACCTGCTTCTGTTCCCTAGTTGTAGACGAAGTCATGTTTTTATTCTAAGCGTCCTACATATCGAAGATCTCTTTCATCGTTTAACAGTTTCTAGTCGATAATGTGCTATGATCATCAATTCACTACTGATGATAGCATTTGGTTTCTTACGAGTATATACAGTAGGAATCATTTTTATTATTGATGGGTTGTATCTAGCGATGGAATTCAGACCATATTGTTTTACTTGTCCTCGTCAGCTTGTTGTGTTAGCATCAGTGTTGATTTTCACACTGGTATTCAAACACAGTATCTGTCACTTCAAACGTTATTGGGTTTTTCACTAAGTTACTTAGTTCAGGAAGCCACTATTTTCCCACATCTTATGAAGTTATTGATAAGTGTTTGTGCTATCCCGTTGTTGATGTTGCCGACTGTAGCCAAAACCAATGCCAAAATAACTCGCTCACAATACCAATGTAAATTAATCAGTTCCACCCCTAATAATAACGGGATTATGTTAAACCTTTATAAGTGATTAAAATTATATGATAGCAAACATCTCGAATCGAAGTGCTGTGTTTCAAAATCTACTACTTCTTATCAGGTGTTGTAACTGAAATATGTAATTTCAGTTACGATATAGCCTTTTGTGGTCATTTGCACTATCCTTTTTATATGAGCACATATACCTAGCAATACCAATGTCATCAATCCTTACTCTTTTCATAGGAAGTGAACCAACCGAGCTTTTTGATCACTTCATTTATACTGCAAATCTCACCAAACCTTATATCTTAGTAGGTGTTGAAATATCTATATCGACACACAAAAAGCTCATTCGGCTTTTATCAACCTGCACCAAATCGGTATGTGACATGAGTCTACAAAGTTGTTGTTTACTGGTATGGTGTTCTGACCACTGTATTTTCGTTAGTCGATTAATGAGACCACTTTACCATTATCTTATGTCAAGTTGATTACTTTGTACGTCATCTAGTTTACATGATTGACCATATTTATTTATTCATTTGAACACAAACATTGGTGCAAAAGGGCACTAAATGCATGTGCCACACAGTTATCAGTAATTTGTGTGAGGGCTGTGATACTGCCCGGGCGCCCGAACCGAAGCAAGTGGTTTCCTTAGGGAGCCCTACCTGGGGCCTTTGACGTAGATGTCTAATCCATAAGGCAGTGAAGCAGAGTCAGGAGATGCAGTCCTATGGTAGCTGGTGACCAACAGTACGCTCATACGCCTTTTGTTCCCTCAGGATCCTGGAACCCATGTGCACGTTTTGTTTGGAATCAAGTTTTTCCAACCCCACTAGGTGGACACTTCTTGTCCACATGACTGAATAAAAGGTACATCGGTTGGTCATAATGATCTTTAACTTCATTGACTGACATAATCGCGTTATGACTAACATAGGGCACTCCAAAATTTAATCACATTGTGAACTCGTAAAAACTGCTTGGCGTTCATGACAACGTAGTAATCAAACTAAACAATCCTTATCTCTATAATCAGAGATTTCAAGATTCCAAGTTACCTAACTCTGATGTTTACTGTTGAATCTCGTTTTTAGCATATAATCGAAACTATTTTCAGTTGCTACCTAAATTCTTCTGTAGAGTTTTGCTCTAATTGACCATCGGGTGTTGATAATTCAAGTCAACTATAAACTTTTGGTGTTGGAAAATGATTGATTTAACGGAAGAAATAACAGAACCGTCATCCATACACATTACAGATGAAGATCAGAGAAGAGCTGGTGATATTTTTCTGGATTATAGCGTATTTACCAAACCCGTATATGAAACACCAAAGTAAGTTCGGCAAGACAGTTTCAATTTAACTGTAACTTTCACACTTTTTCATTCATTTGTAGTGGTACTGTTTAATAATCACTTACTTTGGTTTCACTAAAGTTCTTACTGCTTTTTTCACTTGAAACTCCTAAGTTCATGATTTGACCCCGAAAAATATACGCAATAATATATATATATATATATATATATATATATATATATATATATATATATTTCAAGACATCCTATTTTATCTTCCAAATGTCGATCCCATGATAAAAGAATAAGTATCATACAGAACCTCATAGTAACGATTTAGTCGACAATAATAACAGATTTTTTTAGGAAATGAAAAGCTTCCAAGAAAATGATGTTGCAAAGAAAAGCTCAAGTGGTAATGATGTTTCAGTAAAAAACCACTTACCATTTATATCTAATAGTGATAAAAAGAATTCCATTACATGGTCGTCAAATTCATCGTTTCTGTTCAGTTCTTGTTTGGTTCGATAAAAATGACATATTAAATATCGTAATTTGTTGTTAGTGAAACTAAAATTACCATCAATTCCGATTTCGCAACTAAAATTGTATACACTTGTACATTTTCGTTTGTTGTAAGGCCATAAATACAAGAATTACAGTAGTCTAATTTGTTACAGTTTGATTTCTAATGTCACAGTTAAAAAGTTACAAAATATATTGGTTTATTTGTAACATCTCTCATTTGTCTTCAGACCATAGAGTACCGAACGCTGAGTTTACGTATGAAGCTTAGGGCGATATAAGTAGTTCAATCCCACACATTTTAGCCGTCCTCACTTATAATTTTCTCTTATCGGTTTTCTTCTCTTTATATGGTGGATTGCTGAGCTTCACACTGTTTCAGTCAAATGGTAGTCATAGTTTTGTGATTCATTCTTTTATTTCAGAAAGCCACAACCTAAACAAACCGGAATTAGAAATATTATGGTTACATCAGCATTGCCTTATGTAAACAATGTACCTCATCTGGGCAACATGATTGGATCGACCTTAAGTGCAAGTGTATTCGCTTTGTACTGTGATTTGGCTGGATATAATGTGCTATCTATTTGTGGAACTGATGAATATGGAACTGCGACTGAAGCAAAAGCAGTCTCAGAGAATATGACTCCTCGTCAGATCTGTGATAAGTTTCATAAGTTGCATTGTGATATATACAAATGGTTTCAAATTGAATTCGATTATTTTGGACGAACTACTACTGATCAACATACCGAGTAAGTTGTCCAAATGGTTTTTCAAATGGAGTTAGTTATATTTAAACGGATAGTAATTACAGTTGAACTTTGTTACGCGTTTGGATGAATAAGTTTAATTACTGGGGTATATTGGTTTTTATTGTTGAAAGGATTGCTCTGATTATTATCTTGACGAACTAAAATATTTAGTTCTGACGGACGACCAGTTCTCTACTCCTGTGTCTGCTATTTTGAATAATGTTTAAACCTTCATAAACAAGACTTCAATGAGATTTACACTCTTCGTTATACCAGTTTAAGCGTAAAATTACTTTATTAGGTCGGTTTTTAAAATACTGCAAAATTTTTGTTCATTCCATTTATCTTCAATCACTTTTCTAACTGTCTCCTCAATTTCTTACTGTTATTAGTTCCAGTCGTTCCACACTAATCTTAGTTTTCCCAGAATATGTAGCCAGTCTTAATTGTTTAAAATCTCTGAAATGAACTTGACTCCTGCAATGTCAGTGCTTCGAACGTTCTGGCTTTGTACCAATACTTGGAACAGACATCACTAACGAAACTCCCCAAATCCATTTCTCTGGATGCAGATTGTGCTTTTCAAACCCACACAAGGACCTAAGTGTGAATACACATTTGATCGAGACCTGAGTATTATGGTGGTACGGCGTGGTTCACTATTCATATATTTCTTGAGGTCATGCAGGAGAAGGTTAACATTGATTTTGGAAACAGAAAATGTACTTTAAGTTTAGTTATCAATGCGCGCTTCCTAATTAAATGGCATTGTAAGAACTCGGGAAGATTGGGATACACTGATGTCCGTTTTGTATCTTCTGCTTACTTACATTGAAATTTAAATGAAGTAGACGATAAATTCTTACAAAACACTAGACACTTAAGTGTCCAGTCACTAAGTCAGTCGAATTTTATATCCAAATAAGTAGACTAGACTAAATAAGTGCCATGTTATCAAATGGATTAACTGCAGTGACCAATTTTTCGGGACAATCCATCCTCAATGCTGGTTAATAATGGGGAAATATATGACTGTTCATGACCACACCATAGTCCTCGTCGACCTAGTGAATAAAAACAGTGGATATTAAGTATGTGACCAAAAAACTCGATCTTAAATAAATGAACCTACGGTTCAGTACTGAAATTATTCTGATCTGACTACCGGTAGTAGCTCTCCTGTGTTTCTTTCCAGGTTTTTACACTTATTATAAGTCACAGTTCGCCTTATATTTAATCTCTTCATGTTATTTTAATTTCAGCGTAAAATACCTGTAGCTAATGGTATTATACTTTTCTTTCCAGAATAGTTCAGGAGTTGTTTAAACGCCTGTGGGATAAGGGTTTTATCACTGAAGATTCTGTTGAACAGTTGTATTGCGAAAAATGCCCAAAGTAAGATTTTTATTCTAGGTTTCCATCTTCTATTATATTTCAAAAATCAGTTGTTATAAACAATAAATCGAGTAATTAACAAATTTAAATAACTTAACCATCGGGTCACGTTTGTAAGTCTACTGATTATTTTGAACTGGAAACTCAAGTTCAGTCAGTCAGTAACAACGTAGAACTTCGTACGTACGTACATCAGTTCGAGTTGCCATACCACATTAGCACAGGAAACTCAAGTCACCCCCATACTATGGGTTTGGCCTGGAAATAAAGGTGCACCATACTACTGAATCACCTGAAATAGTATAAATATTGCAGATCAAGCAACAGAATCCATTCATCTCCAAAAACTAGACAGTCTTAGTGGTGAACTGTTCTAGTTTATTTTTCTCAACTGAAGGTTACATTGTTGTTATTCTTAAGCTTAAACTGGAAAATTTTTTCGGTTGAGTTATAATAACTTGTTTTAGTTGCATCATGTAAGCTTCCTGAAAAAGCGACCTATCAGTACAAACTTAAACACTAACATTTAACTGTTGTTAACAATAGATGTAACTCAAGACAAATTCTGGAAAGTGTTGAATACCACCGTTTTATTGACACTAACCGAGGAACTGCCAAAGATGAGAACCAGTTAATCATTTACCTCATTGTTTTGTAGCTATCAGAGTATGGATCGTGTTATGACTTTGTCCGGCTAGTTATCACGATTTATCCAGCAATCAAAATACGACTTATACAATCTTAGCACTGTGCAAAGTCAATGACGTCCGACCAGTATGAGCAGCCTAGCGTCCTTATTGGTCCTGTGTCCATCTAGCCCGTCCACTTGAGTCCAGAACACCAATACCAGCTCCCACTATGCGAATCATATATTTCAGACATACTGGGTTTATATATCAAACAAACAGACCGCAACGCACCATAAAATAGGAAATAATATTCATGCACAATAAAGCCAAAAAGTAGCTGTGAACGTGGGAGGCAGTGGTCAATAAACTGAACATAGCTTAAGAACAGTAAATCGTACAATAATAAATTATGGATCAAAATGAAGCTTATAACAAGGGGAATATAGATATACATAATCTAGTTACTGAATATTTATAACATGAGAATATACCAATAATACTAGTCCATTAATAGTTCCCAGACATCACTCGTAATGTAATCTTCACCAGGATATAACAGACCGTTAATCTCCCACTAATCTTCAAAATCTGTCGATAACATTGGTTTGAATTTCTAATATAGTGGGTAGAAAAGTGTGTTTATATTTATGCTGCAATCACCTTGATAACGGGGACTATTTCCAGTAGTGTGATTCTGACTACCAATCATTCACCTGTCTATCTAATTCAACTATTTCCAAGCCGATTACTTAGTAATCAATCAACTATTTTTTGTACTCCTGCAACACTGTATGTGGGCCACATATATGAGGTGTGTTTTGTAACTGTACTACTCATAAGTAGTCGGTTTGTTATCGTATAGTTTTCATGTTGTATTCCATTTTTTTAATAACTTTTCTCATTAGTTCATACATTTAGTATCTGTCTTACCAGTGGTCATTTTTGAGCTTGTCTGTGCTAAGGGTTGACTGTGGTTCCTGAGTTTATCATATTAAATATGACTTTTAATCGAAGTTAATTGATATTTACTTAAAACTTGCCTGTAGCTATTCTAGGGTTACTACTGGTCCCAAGCCCTGGGTAAAGAAGGAGAGTTAGGCATGGGGTCAGCAACCTCATCCCGTAGAAAACAACCTTGCCAAAAATTTCTTACAAGTAAGAACACTTTAAACCATGTAAATTCCATCCTGCTAGTTGAAGGGTCTTCATATAGAAGAATCATGACGCCTCATGTTGAAGGTCGATATTCTGAGGAAGTCACGAGACCGATCCTCCTTCTTATAACCAGAGAAACAATTGCATAGGTACTTGGAGTGTCCGGAAAATGTGGAAGGCCAGGAGTACCAATCAAATAGCTGCAGAAATGAGATACCATTTGAAGGTTCTGGGAATAACTGGAACCCATTGGACCCAAACTGGACAGAAAAGGATGGATTCGGGAGAGATGCTGTTGTACTCTAGTCACGAAGAATAAAGTGCTCCGTACACTTAGGTAGTTGCACTGACACTGTCCAAAGAATCACGTAAATCACTTATAGGATGGGAATCTCATGGATCCAGAATCACCAAAGCATTCTTCAAAACAAAGCAAATGGGGATTACAATGAATGTTATCTAGTGTTATACGCCTACGCCTAGCAACGAAGACGATAAGGATCAATGTTATGAGAAGCTGCAGTTGATCGTAGAGAAGTGCCTGGAGAGGGACCTGACCATTCTGATAGGAGACAACACGGGTATGAAGATATCATAGGACTACATGAACTGACTAGGAGAAAGGAACAAGAATGTTGGGGGATCTGCAAATTTATGTACATTCAACAAAAAGTTATGGATGGTACTATATTCCCCCGTAAACGCATACATAAAGCTACATGGGTCTCACCGGATCACACCATAGAGAATCAGATCGATCACATTTGCATCACTAAAAAGTTCGAAAAATCCATGGAAGACGTAAGAACAAAGAGAGGAGCAGACATAGCCTCAGGTCACCACTAACTAGTGGTTACCAAGATGAGACTAAAGCTAAAGAAGGATTGGACAACTGAACAAACAGCATTACAAAGGTAAAATACAGCCTTCCTTCGACATAATGATAAAGTCAACCAATTCAAGATAACTCTTAACAACAAGTTTCAAGACTTATAAGATATACTCAACGAAGAAACTACCATGGAGGACAACTGGAAAGGGATCAAAGAAACATTAACTTCAACGTGTCAGGAAGTTGTTGGACGCAAGAAGCATGATTATAAGGAGTAGATCTCAATGGAAACCCTGGATGGGATTTAAGAAAGGAAGAACAAGAATACAGCAACTAACAACAGTCGAACAAGAGTACAGACCGAATACACAAAAGCAAACAAGCAAGTGAAGAAGAGCATTAGAGCCGACCAGCAAGAATATGTTGAAGAACTAGCAATGACAGCGGAAAGAGATGCAAAAGAAGGGAATGTGAGATAATTATATGATACAATGAAGAAACATGCAGGGAAATATGGTGAACCAGAGCGACCAGTCAAAGACAAAGAATGCAAGCTAGTTACTGAGATTCTAGAACAGAGGCACTACGGATCATTGCTGAGCAATTAATTGAGCGGAATTTGTCACTGTATATCAACTTCACTGACTATGAGAAAGCATCTGACAGTGTGGATAGGAGAACCCCATAGAATCTTATTCGACAAAATGGTGTACTTGGAAGGATCGTCAATATGGAGTTCATACAACAGACTACAGTGCAAAGTCGGGCGTGGTGGACAGCTGAAAGATGCATTTCAGGTGAAGACCGGTTTTCAGGAAAAGGCTGTTTCCTTTTAGCTGTTTTCTCTCTTCTGATGGTTGACTGGATCAGAAAGATCTACACATCTCAGTGGAAGCACCGACTACAATAGATAACTTGAATGCAAATAGACCATTAGGACTTTGCGTATGACTTAGCTCTTCTGCCCCACACGCACCAGCGAATGCAAGTGAAAGCAGCCAGTGTAGTAGAAGCCTCTTCATCAGTAGGCTTTAATATGCACAAGGGGAAAATCGAGATCCTGAAATACAACAGAGAGCACTAATCAAGTCACACTTGATGAAGGAGCTCTGGAGGAGGTGGAAACTTTCACATATCTGTACAGTATCATCGATAAATAAGGAAGATCTGATGCATATGTGAAGGCACGGATTGGCAAAGCAAGGACAGCATTCATACGAATGATGAACACATGTAACTAAAAACAGCTATCAGCCAACATCAAGGTCAGGATCTTCAACACGAACGCCAGAACAGTTTTATTGTACGGAGCTGAAAGTTGGAAAACTTGTATAACCCTGTTCGGAAAGGTACAGGTATTTGTAAACAGCTGTTTATGTGAAATACTAAATGTCCGTTGTCAGGATACTTTCAGCAACAACGTACTGTGGGATAGGACAATCCGGATTCTAGATGAAGAGGAGATTTGGGAAAGTGTTTAGAGGTGGATAGGACGTAAATTGCAAAAGCCATCAGATTGCGTCATGAGACAAGCACAAACATGGAATCTTTAGGGGAAAAGGAAGAAATGCAGTCCAAGAACACATTGCATCGGGGATTGTAGGCAGACATCGAAAGAACAAACAGTAACTGGAGACAGCTGAGAAGGATCGCTAAGTACAGGGTTCTGTGTAGAATGCTGGTGGGCAGCCAATGCTCCTATAACAACTCTCCTACAATCAATTTCGTCCGCGGTTAATTTTTTAAAGCCCTTATTTAACAAACAGTGTTATTCAAACAGTAACAGTTTGTCTATTTCGTCGTATTATTATGATCACTGTCATGTTTGTATAAACATATATCTTTGAGTCTTATTAATTGCCTTCGCTTCGATTTGACTATAAATTATGCCTCTGTATTCTCACGCATATGCACATTAGCCTCTCTGCTCCAAATCGCTCGATGTATGTTATGTTCCGACAAGAATAATGAATGGTAACCTTTGGGATCTATTGATGGACCAATACTAGACGTATATTTCTATTGTATAATTATTAAGTAGCTAAACTATGCATATTTATATTCCTCTTATTATAAGCTTTATTTTGACCTATAAACTATTATTATACCCAGTATATTAATTACTACCTCCCTCATTCACAGCCACATCTGGCTAATTCTTGTACAAATGTTGTTTCATATATTATTGGTACGTTGTGGTCTGTTTGATTGGTATATAAACTCAGTATGTTTGAAATGTAATGATTCATATCGCATAAGCTCGGATTGGTGTTCTGGACTCAACTGGCTAGGCTAGGTGGAAAGCAGGACCAATCAGGACTGTAGGCTGCTCGTACGTCTTTTACGCCTTCTTGGTCCGATCGATAAGTCACTGCTCTCTAATGGGCGGTCACAAGTTATAACAATGTATTTGTAACTTTATTATCTGCGCTGTCTAATACTAAACTGTAGTCATCGCTTCTTGTTGCGTTCTGAATTCATACACCGTTGGGATTTGTTTAATAACGGTTATCAGGGTGATTGACAAACAAAACCAAGCCAATACACTCCTCCACGAAGGGTAACAGGCGTAAGTAATTATAACAATTCATTGCTTAAATATATTCCTATATTAATATATCGGGAAGCAAGTCTCCTGTTTTTATTTTATTTTGAGTTCGTTATTCCAATGAATCTCATAATTGGTACCATATATTTACCAAAACTGAAGTAGGTGGTGTGAGTTTTTGAACTTGTTCAACCCGGTAATTGGAGTTAAGTGCTTCACGACCATTAAGCTACCTCTTTACTGCATTGTAACTCGGTAGCTAGTATACTATCAAGTGCGGTTAGCTATGTTAAACACCAAATGCTTAAAGGTGAATTTTGACCTGGTTAACCGTCGAATCATATAATTCACTTATTACAGTACTAATCTGGTAACATATAGGCGACTGATCGAAAACCAGTCAATCCATATTTTCTCTCAATAACAACAAGTCTATCAAACAAGGTTTTTCTGATCGATATAATTAACTGGAAATGTGTATGCTTGAATTACTGTTAGATTATCCCACTATACAGTAAACTGTTAACATAATTTTAATTTTATTCTAAAGATTTCTTGCAGATCGTTTTGTTGAAGGAGTTTGCCCTTTGTGTAAATACGATGACGCACGAGGTGATCAATGTGATAAATGCGGGCGTCTCATGAATGCTGTTGAATTAATCGAACCACGTTGTAAGATATGTTGTCAAAGACCTGTGGTGCGTTCTTCACGCCATTTGTTTCTTGATCTTCCAAAGGTAACATTATTACTTCTGATTTAAAAAGGCGTTTATTTTAGATGCTGGCGTTCATATATTTTACACTAATCTTACTTAATAATTTCTAATCATTTATGTTATATATCCTAATATTCTGCGTGCGGTTTTCTAGCAGTACTGAAAGCATTCGATTTTTTAACCACTGGGATTCAAAATCGAACTCTGCTCTTCCTAATTTGGTGGTTACTTTCATTTACAGGCTAATTGGTTGGGGTTCGTGCGACTAGCGTAACCAATCTTTGGAAACATTAGGTGATGTGGTCCAGAATCGTTTTCAGTGGCCCAAATTCATTCATCCCTTTTCTTTAAAACTACCCCATACTTTTGACCCGTGGAATTCATTCCTCTCAAATCATATTGTCTCTACCTCATCTTTTCTACTGCCACTGATACTTTTACTATTCCTACTATGGTATTTGTGTTAATAATATTATCTCGCTGTGCGGATTTGGTGTAAGTTGAACCGGTGCACATACGTGTCATATTCTAGGTTATTATTATTATCATTAGTGGCTTTATTCAATATCATATTTTCGGTACAATATATAATTCTCAGCACAAAGTATTTCAATACGTTTCCTTTTCTTATTTCTTGATTGACCCTTGCGATAAATATTGAGTGGTCACCAGTTAGATGTTAGCAGTTCAGGAATCGATATCTGATTAATATATATTTTTTTCGATGCATATTATCAGCAACTACTATGTCTCTGATTGGGCTCTTTTGTAACTTGTACGGCGAAATGTCGTAAACTTCTCACAAACGCACCTGAATAGGTTATTCGATCAATAAATATAATTATGTATTAAAAAAAACAAGAAAACAGATAATTTGTTGAGATCTCCAAATGACAGGAACAGGTGGCCCAGATATCCAAGCAGCTTATAAGTAATGAATTAGGGGATAGCTTCGTTAGCTCTTTACTTCTCCACTTACTGAATTATATTAATAAACTGGCCAATTACTATTTCAGATTGAAAGCAAGTTGAGTACATTCGTTGAACAACGTATTAACGATTCCTCTTGTATATGGACCTCAAATGCTTGTACTATATCAAATTCATGGTTGAGAGATGGTTTAAAGCCAAGGTGTATTACACGTGATTTGCATTGGGGTGTACCAGTCCCATTGGAAGCTTATAAAGATAAAGTGATTAACTGTTTGTATATACGTACATACTATTAACTTTTTTGATGATTACGCAATAATATTTTCATTATCATTGTTTTTTGCCAATATGTTACTATCTCATTCTTTGTTATCATAAATCTAGTTAACTTATGAAAGAGAAAATATTTTGAAGCTTAATATTATATGCACTAAGTTGAGGAGAGATTTTGGTATGAAACTGTAATAGTTTCAATTGTAGAATTCAAAGGTCGTGTGGTTTATGCATTCCCTACAGTGCTTAAGGATTGTTTAAGAGGTGAATAATATAAATTTATAGTACCACTATCATCTACTAGTTGGTTATAGTAGGTTTCTAAAATAAAATTCTTTAAAATTCAGGACTTGTGATATCATTGTTTTTTTTTAAACATACGACTTGTGATATTTATCATCAATCTTAATGATTAATAATATAAATATATAAATAGTAATTATTGAATAAGTTACTAACCACCAGTTCAGTCTTTTGCGAATCCAAATTTAATCCATTGTGTTACAGCTTAACGACTACTTCATATGTTTTCTTCCATCAAGAGGAAGTAGAGAGAGTGTTATATTCTCTCTTACAGTGATGACCAAACTATTCCTATTGCTTAGTTTTCTTGGACACCAAATCACTCGACAAGACCCCAAATCAGAACACGGTTCAACAGGAAAGAAATTACATTCCAAGTAACAAGGTTAGATAGAAGCAAAAGGCAAGTATGTAGTGCAATAGGGAAAACGCTAGTATATTTATAGTTGTTCACATGAGATTTCTAGAGTGTTCACTAAGTATTGGCTAACACCGATTGAATAAGAATTAGCCAATCAGTGTGCACCAAAGCAATCGTGCATTAAGCATGCTTTAATCCAGTCTATGTCCCGCTAACAGTGGGTTACTTGGTAGTTAAGTCAGTTGACTTACAACCATTTAGTCGAAAGCTTGAACTTTGTTGTACTTCAGTTCATGAAGTCGTATAATATTGCTCCTCCTCACATAGGAAATTATACCTCAGAGCGGAATACATATACATTTACTTGGTACATAAATTACTCAGTAGTAATGATTAGCAGAAGACAGATTATATTGTACAATGTTTGCAACAACTCTAAACTTTTTCAAATAACAAAACATTCTGGTGAAAATAAATTATTTAGGCTTGCCATTTACAAAAAACAATTCTGACTTATCGTTACTAATTATTAAGAAATGTCTAATTTATCATTGTTTATCATATCATTCCATTTATTACAACTCTTCATTACATTTCACTATTGATATGTTCTATTAAATTTACAAACATTTCTGCTCATTTCCGGTCACTTTTATTTATCTTAATTTGAAATTTACTCCCAAATGTGTTTTATGAATTGTTCATTTCATCCTGAACTTATAAGTCTTTCATTATTTTCAAGGTGTTTTATGTTTGGTTCGATGCACCTATTGGTTATATTTCGATTACGGCAAATTACACAAAACACTGGAAGGAATGGTGGCAACCATCTGATGACAGTGAAATTGAATTATTCCAATTTATGGCAAAAGATAATGTTCCATTTCATGCTATTGTATTTCCTTCATGTTTGTTAGCAGCCGATGCTGGTTATACTCTCGTAAAACATCTACTTTCTACTGGTAAAATTCATTATTGTTCCATTTTTAATCATCCAAGCATATATATTATATATTATATACACACAACAACTGTTTTTGATTGATATTTATCTGGTCCTGATTAAACTCAGTACTTTAATGGTTTTTAAGTACACAACCGATGTCGTTCTAAAATTGTCATAATTTTGAAATGATTTACACCTATGATGGCTAAGGTGTATTAGTGATATGATAGTTATGTTTGGTGACTATTTTTTCTCTCTCTGGATGATGTATTCTAGTATTCATCTTATCAAGATAATTCCTGTCTATCTCAAAAAGAAAGACAAATATCTGTATATCATTCTGGTTTATTTTTTTATTTTAGCACATAAATGTTGGTACAAGGAGGCACCAAATACATATGCGCCACACAAATCTCATTTGATATGTGTGAGGGCTGTGATACTGCCCGAGTGCCCAAACCGAAGCAGGATATCATTCTGGTTGACTTAATGAAAGCTTTAAATGTTATTTGTAAACAACTTTGGAATGAAATTATTTATCATTTAAAAGATAGATGTTTATTTATTTAGCTAGTCAATTAATCATAAACAACATAGTATCTAGCACAAATTTTCATAAGATCAAGTTGCTACAATTCACATATCCACACCGTAAAATGGAATTAATATGTAAGATCAAAGGTGAAATAATTGAAATAATGATTGCATTAGTGACAGTGGAGATTAAACATGGAAAATCTAGTGGTTGAAACTTTGAAATAATAAGAGATTTCAATATTAGACAGTACTCCATATAACTGCACTCAAAAGTTGGCTAGATACTTAACTACGTAACTCAAACCAATGTTTGAGAATCAGATTAGATCAGCCAATAATTTATTGACATAAAGATACAATCAATCAACATAGGTTGAATCGAAGTTTCATTTAAAATGATCTCTTTTATTTAGTATAGTTAGATATATCTGTCTTTGATCATTAACCAATCATATCATACTTTCACTGACACATCACTAGTTCACAAGGAGTACATATAATCGGAAAATAAAATGTTTAAAATAGTAAAATATCCAAATTGAACATTTTAAGATTCGATAGCATGAATGCATCTGTTTAAGTGTATTATCACCTAAAGTAGTATAAATCTCAATAGCTAGGTATTAAAAGCAAAATTATAGAGTCATTCTTTGATTGTCTACATAAATTCACTGAAGCTTTCCCAGAACTTCATAACTGATATTCACAACTTGATTTTATTCAAATTTATGCCAGTATGTGAATGCCATACTTTTAAACGGTGTTGCCAAAAATGGATAACAATTCGTAAATTATATTGTAGTTGTATTTTATAGGCAGATAAATTTCATTCTCTGTACTCTGAGTGTAGCGGTAGACTTTGTAGTTAAACGATTTGATTTTCAATTGCTAGGTTACAAGTTTAAACGTTATCCCTCATCCATTTTTCTTTAGAAAAGGAGATAAGATTACTAGTTTTCTCACATAACAGTAAGACTCTAAGTCAACTACGTAAACCTATATTCCTCGATAATATGAATCATATTAAAACTAATTAAATTGGGTTACATTAATGATGAATGTTTTATTGACAAATAATTCATCATAACTTCTTGTACTGTTGTAGTGTGTGCTACTGATGTCGACAGATAGAAGTAGTATGTATCATCAATCGAAAGCAAAATGTCTGGTGGCAGAAGGTTAAGAAGATCGACCAAAAGAGAATGAGAACAAAGAATGATTGATGTGGAAACGAAAAAACGACGGATTCTGAGACGGATGACTGATATTTGCAAAAGGAACAGTCAAGTTTGAGACAATTGATTGACATTTTGCAAGTGAAGTATTCACTGTATAGTTTCTTGATTTTACTAAGGTGTTCTGTAATTTTATGTTCAAATACATTCGATTGTCCACACTTTTGTCCTCGTTCACTCAGTTGTTTTTCTCACTTTAAATATTACATTCAGAGTATATGAACTATGAAAATACCAAATTTTCAAAAAGTCGTGGAATTGGTGTATTTGGTGATGATGCAATGAAATCAGGTGTTATATCAGATGTTTGGAGATTTTATTTACTGTATCGTAGACCTGAATCACAAGTTAGTTATATCTTATGTATTTTTATTCATTGAATTGACGGGTTTGTGAAAATAATCCGACTTGAGTTTTTATCGAAGTCCAATTATTAAACATATTAGAAGATACGAAAAAAACAACTAAGTTACGCGGGGATCTTCGAGATTCAAAATAAAAGAATTTATCCATAATGCGGTTCTGAATTTTAGACGTGTATGTAGAATCTGTACGCGTCAATATATGCAATATAAAGAAGAATACTTCTGTAATCTAAGTAAAAGCTCGTATCTATATCAAAATAAACAATTGCTGTCAACAATCTAAACAATAACCAATAATGCGAAAATTGGGAACTTGTATACTTAAACAAAGGTTCAAGAGTGTTTTCATTGTGTGATGATAAATAAATAGAATGTTACAAGTTCATGTAAACGGTCAGTCATAAAACTGAACAACCAAGTTGAAATTTAGTTCCTGAATTTTAACAAGTAGTATAATGTAATGTAAAAAAATAATCCAACAGTAAAGAAACGAAGATGAGAGATATAAAGATTCGACACTAATATTAACTGGGCGAAATAACTACTTAGTGCTTCCTGTCTTTTTTACGGTTCTCTTTAGTTAATGCTGGTGCTTGATGAAAAAGTTGCTACAACTTTAGTAACTGATTGCATAATGGTCGTAACACTTTTCTGTCGTTCTCAAGAGTATGAAATTCTGTATAAATGACCACACTGTTGACAACTACATAGGTACATATCTGACTTTCGATTCTGTCACACTTGTTCATATGACGAAACCAAGCGTATAAATGTTCTGGGTATCGTGGATCAAAAAATAGTAAACTAGCCCCTTGTTCATTATCACGTTCGCAATAAAAATTAATAAACACTTACTTCCCCTCCGTTACTTATTTGTTGTTTGTTTATTAATTTATGTATAACTTATAAATTTCAGTACAATAGGATACTAAAAATGCACAACATAAATGAAGTAGTAATAGATGAGTGGAGAGCAGTACAATTTATGAATGGGTAAACCAGAATATTATTTGGAAAAAGAACTAATTCAGTTAAAAAAGAGCCAATAAAAACTTTTTTCAGTCAAGGGAGATAGTCTCAATTTTACGAAGAAGGGAATAGAAAACTGCGCCATGATCTCCATTGGCTTGTATTCTGAATCATATCTGATAACGTTTCTAGCCATTAACTGAGTTGTTCAATCTCTAGAACTGTAACCGAATAGTCATATAGCATATAGCTTTCTTACTATAATGCGTCGTCATAAACTAATCACTACTCATTCTTCACACAGCCCCAGCGTCGACAAATAATGTGCAATATAGAAAATGCTGAGATATGACATTCGTAAATCATATCCAAGCTACTAAAGCTACTGTTCTTAGATGATAGTACCGCAAATTAAACTATTGTCACTGTGTTCCCAAACACTTATTTTCAAACGCTCGTATAACTAAAATGGTTTTTTTTTCTATAAAAGTTAGAATAATTTTGTATTTAATTATTCCGATTAACCTGTATTAGGTACCTAATTTACCGAACATTCTGACGTTTTTACTTAAAACTTTTTGTTTTGAAGTGACCATTTTTTAGCGGTACTGATTCACTGGAAATTGTTATTGCAAGTATTATAAAAGTATATATTTACTATAAACACAGTAAGGAATTAGGGATAATAACATGTCTAATGTATCACAATTGTTATGATAGTTTTTTAATAAAAACATGAGCTACTTATTAAATAATGACGATATACTATAGTAGTGTAGATGAATAAGAAATTCCTTAAAAATAAAAAAATATGTATTTAGAATAATTCAAATCTCATGGAATTCTAACAGATTATTAATTTGATTTTGTATAGCATCATATAAATAACTAACCTCAACTGGAGTGATGACAACATTCATATTACATTATAAATCAAATAAAGTTGTCAAATGTTAATTGTCTTAATTTAACTTTGTAGTTTTAATGTACTTTATTCTTCAGAAGTATCTAATCTAGTTTATGTAAAGAATTGGCATCATATTTTATTTGGTAGTTGGATAATAAAAACAAAGTATATTTTCACTATACTCTAGATTTTGAAGAAAATTCGTATGGTGATGAAATTGTTGTTTGAAATAATCAATATTCAAAAAGCTATCCAGTTTTGTGATTGAATCGTTTGTCAGCTTAGTATTTATGTACTGGACTTAAATCTATGGTGGTTAGTGTATTTGTTCTTGCGAAATTAATAAATGGGTACCAGTTTACTCCATAGGCGATATATATATATATATATATATATATATATATATATATATATATATATCCTCTGAAAACAATTTAATATTTATTTTTAAATTGTATACAGTGAATATAATTAATTTAGGGCTCTAAAATTTTCTAACATATTTCATCTTTTTGTCTCTGGGTATCATCGTTTTTCTAATTTTATAATTCATCTTTTTACAGGATAGTGCTTTTATCTGGGATGATTTCATGTTGGTAAATAACTCAGAATTGTTGAATAATTTAGGTAATTTTGTTAATCGGTAAGTTTATTATCAATCCATCAGTTTATTGTTTGAACTTTATCGGGAGGTGGTAACTACTTGACTGGTGTCCTTGAGTTAATCGTAATTCATTATTTTCTACAACAAATTCAGGTTATACATTCCACGTGCTTCATGAAGCTGGAAGATTATCATTAACATATATATATACGAAAGCAAGGATCACTAAACATCCGTAAATATAATCTTGACACCAATTGTTTATGATTTAATTGTGTTTTTATCAGGTGTACTACGTACATTATCTGAATCAAGATTTATTGCTCTCAGTACTGGATAACAGAAATAGTTTATTTGTATTTCGATTTGTCCGTCGTAGAATATGTGGAAACTTCTTAGTATGCAGTATTACAATTTATTTGTTAAATTATAATCATCTGTTTATTAGTTTATAATTAAACTTCTATCACTATCTGTTATTTACCTATACGTATATACCAAGTCGATTTATCTTAGCATATTTGGTATGTACTTAGAAGTCGGATTCAGGACGCATGTTTCATCCTACTCTAAACTCGTTAACCGGGTTCAGTTGTATCATAATTGTAGTGGCTAACACAATGAGTCGAACCCAGTACCTTTCATCTAAAAAACCCAACGCCGTTTTCCTCTCTGCTATTGAGTCCAGATAGCTACTAACTTGTTCAACGATTATAGAGGCATTAGTAAGGGTTTTTCAGTTCTCCGTTGCTTATATTGACGACAGGAAATGATTGATATTCATATTGTGCTGACAGAATTTAAAAAAACTATTTAAGTAGAATAAGTAGTGCCCAGCGGTGGAATCCAGGACGCTCTCAAGATGCTTATATGTCATAAGAGATCAATCAATTCCAGTCCTTAACACCAACAACAAAAGTATTCCAACCTTTACGGACAATTTTATATGGCTTTGATTTGCCTAGAAGTCGAATCCACGAAGTGTGTTTTGTTCTATCGGCGATATGTCAGCTAGATTCCACTCCTGACTACATACTAAATATATTGTAATTTGTTATAATGCTGTTTAGAGACAACCTACTCATGATCTACATATGATGATAGTGACTAATCAATTATAGTTATAAATATCAATAGTGAGAAATTCCAAATTCTTACTAATACCATATCGATGTACTTTACTCCAGATAACCGGAGTGTATGATTGTTTCATGGTTTCATTAGTTTGATCAATATGAATTCTCACATGGTTAATAAAATCACTTTGAATTAAAATCAATGTTTCCTATGACTTACTACTGATTAGTTAAGTCGACATGTTTTTTCTCCTCTAATTCTGATCTTGCCAGATCTCTTTCTTTTGTGTCACGATTTTTCAATTCGATTATTCCATCAATAACAAAATTAGAACCGGTTGATACGGAATTTTTGGCCAGAATTAATAAACTCTTCGCTACTTATATGCGCAATATGGAGTTATGTCATCTTCGAGATGCTATTCGAAATGTATTGACAATTGCTCGTCTTGGTAATGGTTACTTTCAAGCTAATCAACCGTGGGTCGCTGTTAAAAAACCGGAAACAAAGTTCGTTCCTATCTTTTATTAAACTAAATTATTTTGATATTACCTTCCCTTGTGGTGTAATTTTTATTTATTTATTTGAGAGGAATTAGCTTTTCCAATAATTAAACAATTTGAAATCTAAGATGCTTAGGTCTTTACTGAATTGAGTGCTTTATATTTACCTTGGTATTAACATGTTCACCAGTTATGATATTAAAATTAACAAAGATTTTCTCTGGTGTTCTGCAAATTTCGACAAGGAAATTCCTATCATACACATACGTGTGTCAGCCTACTTAACGTGTTCCACTATGGTTTTGTCATTCAAAGCGTTATTTCAACATTAGTCAAAGCCACTTATATGACCAACGATTTTTTGTACATTTCCAAAATCTCATCTCTTTGTTACCTTAAACTTGTTTATATGATTGTTAACCTGGAACTTACGTTAAAATTATTATTTGTAAAATGGTATGTTTATTCATTACATTAAATGCAAGCGAATCTATGATATAGTATCTGTATATTTTTATTGAATACTACTCTAGTGACATTTATATTTATCAGTAAATTCATCACTACTTGTTTAATTCAGCAATGTACTTAGGGAGATCACTCATAATGTAGTCACTAACAGAACAGGGAATAGTGTCTATTGCTTGTATGTCTTCTTTTACATATGCGGTAGTACGTTATATTAAAAAAACTAGATTATGTCAGTGAGTTTCCTGTTTTTATAGTCATAAAGTATTTATTGTGCATATTATCATCAAAAATTCCAACCTTAAGGAAACTCCCGGTCATTTGATTATTGGTAAGCGATTTTGCATTATCCATCGCCCAATGTTGCTATATTCTGTTGGTTTTGCTATGCTATTTCAATTGGATATGTCAATTGATGGTGTGTAGACACTCGATTTTTAACTATTGGGTTTTTTAATCTTAAGATCGACTAATATAACAATAAATTATTAGATGAAATTTGCAAATTTTATCATGTGTTTAATCAAAACAGAAAAGCACATAATATTTTTATTACATCCTGAAATTTTTTAGTCTTGGACAGTTTTTCGCATACATACGTTAATATTTGAGTAGTTAGTATTTGTTATATAAACTGTAATAAATTCTCAAATATAATATTGTGTGAGATAGTTATTTAAAGGCTTTAATAGAATCTTTCTAATTATAATCAACATTTACTTTCTGTATACATGCTTTTGGATTACTTTTAAATTATGTCACACATAAAAACATTTCAGACAGCGTTCTGGTGTTGTGATAAGCGTTGCTGCGAATGTTGCTTGTCTTCTTGGTGCTATGATTTATCCTTACATGCCTACAATTGGAAAACAGATCTGGATTGAGCAGTGTGATCTTCAGGAATCCCAAATGAGTTTCGTGCAGATTATTAAAAATGAATTTACAGTGAAGAGGTTGTTACCTGATGGTCATCGTATTGGAAAGGTTAGTCATATTTGCATACTTTATATTTTCAGAGTTGTAAACAGACATAAGTAGGATATGATCAACCACAAATACCCATCAGCCAGAGGAATAGGAAAGCTGTAGCAGTAGGATTGAACCGAATGAGAAAAAGAGAAATATGCAATTTCGAAGAAGGATTGAAAGGTGTAGAGTGTTACAATACCTCAAATTTATAAGATAAATATTAGGTAATTATATACGGTTTTAACAGATTTTACGTCGTAGCAACATTTTTCAGCTATAGCAAGTTGGCGGAAGCCAAGATTTTGTCAATCATCAGACGCCTATCTATCTTGGCTGACTGCACTTCTAAGGCAACTGATATTCATCTCTTTTTACCATTACATGAAGTATTTTTGATGCATTTGATTATTTATTTTGAATTTCCAAATTACTAGGATAAATTGCACTGAAAGAACTTAATTTTCTTCTTGTTTTGTAGCCAGTCCCTCTTTTTCGGAAAATAGATCCTGATGAAATCAAACGTTTGTCTCAAGTTTACAGTGGTTCATCTGCTGCGTCTGTGACTAATGGAAATGAGCCGAAGTAAAAGAATCATTAATGTATGTGTGACTTTCCTGTGACAATTAATTTATCAACGTACTTGTTCTAACTATTGCTTCACCACTTATGTACTTTATGGAATACATGTACCTTTTAAAGCATTACTTTGTATATCCTACTACTTTTGGCTATTAAATAAAAATTTGACCCTGGTTTTATAGACAGCGCGATTTAAAATTTGATATGGCGTTACTTTAAGATTCGGCACCTCGCACAGACAAGTTGGTTTAGCAGTTTAAATGTTTATAAGTTATGTAGGAACCAGTGTATAAAACTAGCGAAGAAATATTCAGGTTTATACGTAAGTATGACAAAGTATAAACGTTTCGGTCGCTAAATCTTGTAATATGTAGCAGATTGTATTTGTGTATAAATTGTGGTGTTAGCAAGAAATGATATTTATCTTGTTATTCGTTTCAAAGTTTTATTAGAATTGCGGTACATCATTTCCACGTGTGTAATATATCAATTGGGAAAATAGCTACATATTCAACTCCGTGATCGTTCAAATGGTAGAATAAATACGTGGAATCTCAGATGAAAGCTTGAGCAATATCTAGTTGCTTATCCCGAATAGTTCGAGTTGGTTACATTAAATAAGAGGTACTGAGTAAGCTTGGCTTGCGATCCGTGGGAAATTATGATACACTTTCTAGTTTTCACAATTAGCTTCAAGCTCAAGGTGGTAGAAATCTGCCTTAAACTGACAATGAAATTATAGTAAAACGACTATGTCCATCTAGTGCTTCATTGATCGTAGAGAAGTGCCTGGAAGAGGACCTGACCATTGTGATACGAGACAACACCGTGTATGAAGATATCATGGGACGACATGGACTGACTAGGAACCTTAATAGCAAAACGCAACATATTTTAACCTCATATCCATAGAAAATTGGAACACAACTATTCTTAGAGCCTGTGGATCATGGGATCAGATGACTGACGTACAAAAGACTTGTTTAAGTCACATTTATCTGGTTATCGCTTCTAATGTGTCTCTCACCTGTTAGCTCTTTAGAGAGTTTCCACATACTTGTAACGTTTTTGCGAGATAGAAGTTCCTGAGTAAACACTGAGTTCAGACGCCTAATATCTAGGTTTGCCAGACTACTTAGCTTGCGAACTTCAATGGAGTTTTTCTCCTTGTATGCTCATTTTCCACCCTTCATATTCGCTTCAGTTAGGAAGACATAAGTTGATCTAAACTTACAAAAATGGTTCCGATCGGGCTAAAAATATCAAAACATAATTTAAGTTAATAAGTGATAATGTTAACAGCGTTTTCCTATGGGTTATCTGTAAATAATCCCCAATCCGTCGTACGAAGTGTTTTTCAGATTTTGGATATTTCCTTTTCAGCAGTTTCTGTATTTGACTTCGTTTGCCTGATGTAATAGTGCACCCTTTCCAAGCTTGCCATAGACTCTAGGTAGGAGTGTAGTGTAGTGTAGTGGTATTGATTCTAACCACACAATACTCGGAGATGAACATAAGATGACTGAGAAAATTCACATTAAACATCTAACACGGTGGAAAAATCAGTAATATATATATTCTGAAAGTGATAATTACAGAATTCAAGCCAGTTTACAGACATGATCAATTTGATATGAATAGTAACATAACATGTACAGAACAAACATGTGATAGAAGATAGTCTTAGGTATACTAGTTCAGTAATTGTTTAGGTAGCACATGTATTACAGCGATCCAATGCATCAGCCAGGAATTTTTAATTTTTCTTAAATGGACAGCCTGTTGATTTTTGAACGGTGTAGTTAAGGTCATTTCCTGTGCCAGATCGAATGAGTGCTAATTATCTACAACTAGAGAAATTGAAGCGAAAGAAGAGCACGGAACAACAAAGCAGTCATTACCAAAATATGTCAATCAGGTCTACCAAAATCCATGTGACACAGTGATATACTGTTGATGTAGGATATTATTCAAATTAGTTAAAGTTGCTAGGGACGGTGTTAACATGAAGTGACAGCAAGTAGGTGGTTTTACTTAGGGAATGCACTAATAAAATTGACTAAACCTTTCAGTCAGTCAGTCAGCTGCAACGTAGGACCAGGCACATATGTGCATCGATCCAGGTTGCCATACCTCATTAGCACAGCAAGATGAACACCGGATTCATAGGAGTGGTTAGGTCAAAGGTTGCAATAAGGATATAGTATAAGAAGAAAGAATTAGTTCGTAGACAGAAAGAATGAAGTGATTTTAGTCTCTTAGTTTAAGGAAAGACAGGGAGTGTATACACCGACGCCATTGTGATCGATTCCGAGCCATGTCCCCAAGAGTCTCCAACCATTGGTTGCGAAAGTCACGCGGACCCCAACCAAGTAGTCTGCATCTACCAACGTGACTCAGACTAGAAGTTAGTGACCTCAGGCACTGATGCCACGTTTTGGTTTGGCCTCCCCTAACTTTCTTCCAACCATCCCCTACCCCGGTTAGCATCGCACGTCGTGGTAATCGGTGTTCAGGCATACGTAATACGTGGCCCAACCATCTCAGTCGATGAAGATTCATAACCTCATCAACTGATTTACCATCATTCCCTAATACCCTGCGTCTAACCTCGCTATTACTTACCCGGTGAACCCAGCAGATGCCAGCAATATTTCTAAGGCATCTGTGGTCAAATACTAGTAGCTTACGGGTGTCTTCTACTCTTAAGGGCCATGTTTCGCTGCCGTAAATTAAAACAGAACGAACTGCCGCGCAGTATACTCGTCCTTTTATTGATAGACGGATATCTCGCCTTCGCCAAAGGTGACGCAAGTTGGCAAAAGCCAAACGAGCTTTTGGAATCCGTGCTGAGATTTCGTCCGATACCAACCCATTAGGGCTGATCAGACTTCCAAGATAAGTGAAGTTGTCAACGCGTTCGACTACTTCACTCCCTATCCTTAGTTCAGGTGTTGACGCAGACCAGTCCTGAAGCAACAACTTGCATTTAGAGGGAGAGAAGCGCATTCCAAACATTCTGGCATTGTTGCTTAGTGCTACAACATTCAATGCATTTTCAGAAGAGCAGTATATAGCGAACAGATAATGGAAACGATTTTATCGTACGGATAGATTGTGGTAGGTTATTCTAGAATCTGGACAATTTACAGGTAAAGTAATTCATATAGAGAGATGATTTAGAATAAGTTTGTTTCACTAGTGCCAAGGAATTACGGATGTCATAATGAGAAGTTTCTGCATATTGAATCACTTGATTGAGTGTGTGGTGACTCACATTTATCACGAGAACACGACTGGTTTAATAAAAACGCTTATTATTATAACCAAGTTTACTATTGACTGTTTTAATGTGCTTTAGTTTGACTGTGGTAATGACAGCTATATTGTACTTCCATTCTTATTCTCACACTTCGATTGTAACTTCGCGCGAATTCGGTTACGTTCTGTAACCAAGTTTGTATCCTGGCACGATCTCGGTATCCTTTCGATACCACGAGCTCGCCAGCAAATAAACATCGATTTGGTCCATTAACTGGTATTTGGCTTCTCGGGGATTTTATGGGTTTCTTTGGTTACGTTCAACCTACGCCTTCTGATTTATTTGGCACGTGTTTCTTGGTAGCGGTGTTCATAGTTAACCTCAACACGACACCACGCTACAAGTGTAAAGAATTCCAGCCTCAGTTTATCCTTTATGCGCGCACTGCTAAGAATAAAACTGGAGTATTCTAGAAGTGGTCGAACATTAACTTTGTACATTAAAATACGTAATGTAGTACGCAGCAAAAAGTAATCGAAATGGCATGACTTGGTCGTACAGGCACGGTCACGTAATCTCCCGCTTATTGCATCAAATGTATTATTCCCTCTTCAGCTCGGATGTGTTCGTCAAAAGTGCTAGATACCATATCGCCGATTATCATGATAGACAATGCTAATTCCACGTAAGATCTTATAAATTAGATGGTCAAATCATAACATATCTACAATTTAGGGACTAAGTTTATTATTGTAGTAGCACTAATACCGAAGTAGACCATAATTATACGGATGTGACTAGATGAACGTGACTTTGCAAACGACCTAGCTCTTCAATCTTATACACCAACAAATTCAAGTGAAGAGTAGAGGATATTCGTAGATTACTATTATTTGATCACAGATGTTTTCGAAGCACTGCTCGTTTGTTTTGGGACTACGGAGTGCTAAGTAAAGATTGAAAATCGATTGATGATGTATTCAACCTCTAACAATTAAGTGTTTGGGATATATGTAACGTATGCCCGGTCACTGCATACTTCAAGGGGCTATGATGCCTGCCGCAGAAGTACGTCGAAATGAAGAAAAGGGAGGCCAAACCAAAACATGGCAGCGGTGCGCGAAGTCATTATCAACTGTACTGAGTTGTAGCAATCGGTAGGTCTCAGTAAACATAAGGGAAAAATCGAGATCCTGAAATACAACAGAGAGCACTAATCAAGTCACACTTGATGAAGGAGCTCTGGAGGAGGTGGAAACTTTCACATATCTGTACAGTATCATCGATAAATAAGGAAGATCTGATGCATATGTGAAGGCACGGATTGGCAAAGCAAGGACAGCATTCATACGAATGATGAACACATGTAACTAAAAACAGCTATCAGCCAACATCAAGGTCAGGATCTTCAACACGAACGCCAGAACAGTTTTATTGTACGGAGCTGAAAGTTGGAAAACTTGTATAACCCTGTTCGGAAAGGTACAGGTATTTGTAAACAGCTGTTTATGTGAAATACTAAATGTCCGTTGTCAGGATACTTTCAGCAACAACGTACTGTGGGATAGGACAATCCGGATTCTAGATGAAGAGGAGATTTGGGAAAGTGTTTAGAGGTGGATAGGACGTAAATTGCAAAAGCCATCAGATTGCGTCATG